TATCCCTGGCCTCCTCTTCCAGCCTCTGCAGTAGCTCCCTCTGTTGGTCAGACACGCTCTGTATTTCGGCCTGGAGCGCCACCAGGGAGCCGGCCATGCTGAAGCAACCACGTGACGTCTGCCAGCCCAGAACCATGGATATCCAGGAGCGCGGAAAAAAATCTGAGAAGCCTATGACGCCGCACAGTACATCTGTGACGGTTTGGCGTGGGGGGGGGAGGAAGGGAGAGAGGGGGGGATGAAGGGAAGAGAAAGAAAGGGGGGGGAGGGAGGGTGGAGAGGGAGAAGGGAAAGAGGAGAGGAGAGTGGGGGAGAGAGGGTGGAGAAGAAGAAGGAAGATAGGAGAGGAGAGTGGAGGAGGAGAAGGGAGGAGGGGATAGAAGGGGAGGGCGGGTGGAGAAGGAGAAGGGAAGGATGAGGGAATGGGAAGGGTGGAAAGGGATGGGTGGATAGATGAAGGGTTGGGGGTTGGGAAGGAGGGAAAGGAAGGTGGGGGAGGGGAGGGAGAGGGAAGGAGAAAAAAAAGGGGGAGGAGGGAGGGGGTGGATGGGAGTGGGTAGAAGAGGGAGAAATCATTGTGCATGATTTATAAAACTGTACTGACGACGTCGTTGGTATGATAAGGTCTAAATTGTGTCAATGCAGGAGTAAAACATTAGTAATCTATAAGCAATAACACTAAGTCTCCGACAGAGCTGCAGCATCAGTAGTCGATGAACGTGACATTTATCACCACATGCTTACTTCACCATTAACTTACATACGTTAACACTATCGTAATGACAGCATTAACAACAACAAAAATCACCACCACCACCACCACAAACAACAACAATACCAAACACTATCTTTCCCATCACCACCACCACCAACAACAACAGCAACAAAAAACAACAACAACCACAATAACAGCAACAACAAAACAACAACAACAATAACAACAACAATACCCAACACCACCACCAGCACCACCAACAACAACAACAACAAAAATACCAAATAACACCATCACCACCACCACCAACAACAACCAAAACAACAACAACCAAAACAACAACAACAACAACAACAACAACAAAAATACCAAATAACACCATCACCACCACCAACAACAACAACCAAAACAACAACAACAACAACAACAACAACAACAAAAATACCAAACAACACCATAACCACCACCATCAACACTAACAACA